AGAAGCACTCATAGCATACCATTGCCTCCCGGATGGGAAGTGGCCAACGATTGCGAGACCGGAAAGACCTATTATGTGGACCACAACACCAAAAGGACTCAATGGTTTGATCCCAGGGACAGGTGAGACACTGGACCAGTTGACACGAGTGTTGTCATAGCTAATGGTGATGTGTTGCATGTGTTACAGACTCACCAAACCCTCCACTTTCGCCGACTGTGTGGCCGATGAGTTGCCCTTTGGCTGGGAGTATGTCTTTCATCCACAGATCGGTAAGCATTTGATCCATTGATTCATAGATTTAAGACAAACGTGTATTCATTTTTGGGCCGTAAATGAGTGGTTAATTGTATTATGAGTTGCGAGATGACCACAAACAGTGGTTTCACTCATTTGTTTGACTATTCATTGCATTTATATCTAACTTTGAAAAGTTTTTATTTCATTTATAGTTAAATGATTTGAAAGTTAATTAATTTACAAAAATGTTAAATTAAATGATGAGTTTAATTTATGTTGTAAACTTATTTTTGATTTATATATCTATGTTATAAATAGTTTACAAACTTCTACAACATTTATATTTAGTATAACATCATTAACTCAAATAATGACGTGATTTGAGGCATAAGTTTGTTATTCAATGGCTTTTATGTGAAACTAATTGAATATAAGTGTAAATATATGCGGAAAACACATTAAATTTAGTTTATATATAAAATATTAACATTTTATTTTCACAGTTATAATGTTTTGCAAATTCTGTAGAAATTTATTTATGCAAAAATTGAATTTTAAAATAAGTTTTTTGTTTATCTCTTAACTGGAATTTCAATTAATTTTGTTTTTTTATTTAACGATAAAACTTGAAATTTATTCTTTAAATTAAATATTTACAATACACCCTGCTTATATTACAGGCATTTATTATACGGATCACTTGCGGCGAGCGAATCAGTTGGAAGATCCACGACTAGAGTGGCGATCAGTGCAGATGAATATGGTTAACAATTATCTACAACAGGCCAATGGTATGTCACTAATTGCCATTTGCTCCATAATCCCATGTTTAACATATTTATCGTTATGTTAATGATTACAAA